AGCGCTGTTACCAATCTCCTTCCGAAAAAAAGATACAGACTGGACATCATTAGCCGAGGAGATTTAAGATTAACCCTTACGAAATTGACGCCCAATGTTGATAATTTATTATTAAAGCATCAGGTTCATCCTTCTCACTAAAAATATTGACTTATTGCTTATGTTATTTATAGTTTATTTTATGTTTATTTAATGCTACGTATATTTTACATAACAGATACAAAATTTTATTTTGAGTAGTTTTAATTTAAATTCAATTAATAAATGTATAAATTAACATGTGTTTTTACTTTATGTTTTTAACACTAAACTTCACTACAGTTAGAAATTTACAGGAAATCAATATCAGGTAAGTAGGGGGTCTACCCAACACGGAAAACATGGCAAGGGGTCTACGACACAAAAATGTTTGGGGAACTCTGATCTAAACTTTGCATAAATACATATTTTCCTTCATTTTCATTTAAAACGACTCACGCCTCATAAGGTACTCTGTGCACCTCGCAGATGCAGACATCCTTCCATTCTATATATATAGTGTGGTAGGATATAATACTAGCGATCCGAACCGGCTTTGCACGGGTGAAAAAAAATTCATCAAAATCGGTCAAGCCATTTTCGAGTTTTTGCGAAACTAACGGATAGCAATTGATTTTTTATATTATATATTAGAAGTTGTCAATTATATTCACTTACGATTAACATGTACATATTTTTTTGGTAAAACATTAATAAACGAATTAGTGCGTTACACGTATTCTTACGATCCATTATAATAAAGCTTAAATAACTGCCTATATATACGCCCTGCCTATAAATACAACACAATTATTCAGCCACGCTCATCCAGCGTGTTGCCAACATGTCTTACACGACTTCACATTCCCTCTTAATTATATACTTACAATATTTTATTCCACAGACATGCAAGTTTCTTCAAGGTGGTTTTTTTTTCACCGTCGAGTACGTTACTACGTGCCATCAACCACATTAAAGTCGTCATTTTAACGCGCGGGTCGCCCAGACCTTATGCAGTAATATATAGGTCAATGATTTTTATACGTGAGAATGGTGCATTTTTGTGTGTTTTATTTTTGCACATGATAACTATATGACTTTTTAAGGTTTTCCATCTTGCTCGGACGGCTTGAGATACTATCTCCTTCAATTGTTTGTTGGGTTAAGGGGTTGTCAAATCCCACATAATTTTGCATTGTGATGCATCTGCATATTGTGAAGAATTTAGTGAACCTACTTATTACCAGTGGTTGGAGTAGGTAGAACTGTTTGGCGTGAATGACCGCAAACATTGATGTTAACATGGAAATGCCTCTGAAATCCCGGGATTTTGAAATTGTCGATTGATTTAAGTGAGTTAATATGCGCAGGTAGTAGGTGAGCACCCGAACAGTATATACTTACTTATATATACACACACAGGGATCCTGGAATGTTGTTAGAGGTAGCTTCGTCAAATATGAATTAATTAAGTAAAATTGTTAGAAACAATACTAAATATACTTTACTGCACAAGGAAATATTAAATGCCTACACAATACTGAATAAAAAAGGATGTAAAGAGTTTTATATTTTTTGTATTTAAACAAAGAGAAAAAAAAATTATTGATCACTTTTTTATATTACCTATACATACTATTTTTCTTGTAGTTAATATTTAGAAAATGTTTTCCGTCTTTCTCTAACAAAGCAATTTATCTCTCTTTTATTTTTATATGTTTTTGCTCTATGTTGCCAACCCGTTGTACGCGCTGTTTTCGTAGCTTATTTTTTGTCTCTTTCTATACTAAACGTCCAAAGTATTAGCTATCTCACTTACACAGATACAGTTACAGTACAGCTGGCTTCACTCACTCTCTTGTTTCAGCTTGTAGAGTGCGCACGTGTGCTTTATTGTGTTTATTATTTTATTTGACGTTGACTTGTTAACTGGTTTCTGGAATCGTTTCTGACACGAATACTTTGGCTTGGATTTACGGATTTTGATTTGTTTTTTGTGGACTTGATACATTTGAAACTGTTTGTTTGATTTACCTACCACATTTGGGTGTTTTTTATCTTTATAATATCTACTTACTACAAAGAACATTCATGGTGAAAAACCAATGTAATTGTCCTCTTCTAAATACATATTTTTTCAGGCTTCCGAAGTTCCAAAAGAAGCTTTATAGTTTCGCCATGTCCATCTGTTTGTCACATCCCACAGCCAGTTTTTATATACAAAAGTTTAAAGTAGAATTTTTCGTTAGAGACCTGAGTAGCAGGGAACTTGTTTACGTAAATTGTAGCTCCCGCTACCCTACCTTGTAGGTGATCCGACACGCACCTGACCGTTTTTTTCTAATACAGTCTTGTGTTAAAAGCTGACTAAGTCAATTAGAATACAAGGTGAACTAAGACCTCCCCCTCGCACACCCCTTCAAGCACCGCGTTTTCCTACAATAACCATTTTCATTGGCTATTGACTGCTCTTACCTAAATATTTTCGGAGACGAGTTTGGCAGTGTTCTATCTGATTGTCTTGATCGGCTAACAAAATGCATTTGAATTATGTATATCATACTTACTGTGGAACAATTTTTCTTTTCTATAAAAATTACTTAAACAATGTTTTTTTAATTCCGAGAATTCCGGGAAATATTTGGCATATCCATGTTATGTCCGCATGTCGCGAATAGCAAAAACAGCTCTACCTACTCCGACCATTACTTATAACACATCATAATAGTTTAAGATATTTACTTAATAATATTTTGACTGAAAGACCATATCCATGATATGTAAAAGTCGCATCATTTTTGTGTGATGTGATGCTATTTGTATATTAAGTATTTACTTATACGAACTATTAGAGAAAACAAAGAAAGAAGTCCTTCAATGTTGATATAAACTCAAGTTATTTTTATCGCTTAGGCGCCTTATGAACTTGAGTGACTGTCGGCATCAACTGTCTGCTGGGTTAATCTGTCGTCAAAATCTCTCACGAAATCGCAATGTGACGCATCAGCATATTGTGAAGAAAAAAATCTATAATAATGAATATCCCGAATGAAATGAAGATATGGCTTAAAAACAGGCATCCAAGCTAAAATCTTGATTAATAAAAAAAACAAATGATATTATGACAATTAGAGACGGGCTTAATACCGATATTTACCAGTATTAGGTAATATGAATATATTCGTCTAAAAACGTATAATATATAATATTTGAGTATCAGTGATATTTAAATATTATGACCTAATAATACGGATCACTGCAGTATTAGATTAGTGTCCAATGGACTGTACCTTGTTATTTAGTATTAATAGGTGGTTAATGAACGTTCAATTTAAAAGGTACTTTTAAATATTGTGATTTTAAAACTTATACTTCTGATGTATTCACATCCATTTCCCATTCATCTGTTTTAAAATACTAAAAGCCAGTAGCCTTGGAGAAGTTAATGCTATATACTCAATATGTATATTATAATATTTTTATTAAAATTAATAAATGTTTTAAATTCAACTAGAGTACAAGGCTTTTTTACAGAAATGCCGAGAATAGTTGTTAGGGCGAATAGTCGAATACCGACTACTCACTTCCTCATGGCGAATAATCGAATATTCGACATAAAAAATAAATATACAAAATAATTTATTTGTTATCAAATAGTAATATTACACTTGTAATAGTCTCTTGAACATACCTATCATTTATATGTTACTATAATCTAAAAAACCTAAGATTATGACTATTATCATGGCCCCTTTTCTTGTACGTAACATATTTTACGGGGAATAATCTCATTTAGACAATGAAAAGTGGGACGTCGTTTCAGAAACTCATGAACTATTTTGGGCATGTTTTGAAGAAGCTAAATCTACGAGAACAAAGCAGCCTAATGAAGACCAACCCAATAATTCCATTGCTGATGAAATTGCCAACTACATCAGGTTAGCAAAAGCTAACAGAAGTATAAACCCATAAGTATGGTGATCTTTGAGTATCTACCAATAAGAATCTATTCCCAATTTTAAGTAGCTTGCTAAACTATACTAAGTCACACCAGCAAGGTCTGTTTATTCAGAAAGACTATTTTCTGAGGCAGGTTTGGTTTACGAAAAAAGCGCAACAAACTCGATTCCAGTCGTGCAAAAAAGTTAGTATTTCTGCACCACAATCTACCTCTTTTAGGCTTTGAATATTAATTAAAAAGCCTTATTAACTTCAACATGTCCGATTTTTGTTAATTTTTATATTTTTAATGATGATTATGTATTAATACTAAGCGTGTTTTGTTTAAAAGATAAATATTTTGTCTACCTATAGTTTTTCTGCCCACTATGTATATATTATTTAGACAACTAATCGTCCAATATCGAATAATGACCACTGTTACTCGCTATTCGAAGAGTAATAAAAAATGCCGAATACCGAATAATAGGGATTATTCGTGGCATCTCTAGCTTTGTATACCAAAATAATAAGTATGATGTGTAAGTGTCATTGTTTGAGATAATTTTTTAAATTGTATGAGTGAGAGGAATAATATATCGACAGAGTAAGTTCGTTTGTTGTTGTTTCCATTCGGCATTCATTCACTTCACGAAAAGCAGTACTGATTACTATATATATTATATTAGTAAAATAGCAGAGTGAATCCAATCCGTGTCAAGTGAAATAAATCTCAGTTCATATGAATATTAAATATTAGCATATGAGAGTTCGTCGGATTACTAATATGTGAATCCATAGAATATTACTAATCTCTTAACTATTACTATTAAGAATATTACTAATCTCTTAACTATAACTAACTATTACCAATATATTAGTCACACCACTAGACAAAATTGACATTTAACAGCTGACAATGACAGATTGACTGTCTGTCAATCTGTCATTAATTAATCACAATTGTCATGGAGGTATTTCGGTTATTTCAACGTCAAGTTTTTATTAATTTTGAAAAATTACTTTTATCTAATATTACAAAGATGCCTTTTTATGCTGTGGCAAGAGGAAGAACACCCGGTATTTTTATGAACTGGCCTGATTGCGAAGCTCAAGTAAAAGGCTTTCCTGGTGCTCGATATAAAAAATTCAATACCGCCGTGGAAGCTGAAACATTCATTACATCAGAAGGTGATATTAATGTTTCACAAAAAAACAAAACAGTAAAAACGAACCGAAAGACAAAACCTGATCATACCGCTCAAGAAGAATACCCAAAAACCGCTGAACCCGCTAAATCTGATATCAAAACTGCTAAGAAACGAACATCGAAACTTTCTAAAAGCGATAGCGACAGTAATGAAGATTTTGATGATTTAAACACAATACTGACTAAACAAATGGACGATATTGAAAAAAGACTTAAAGGTTTTCAAAAAGGTGTAGACAATATTATAAAGAAAAATTCAAAAACCACTGGAAAAATTATCTTAATTGATCCACCTCAAGCAAAAAAACGAAAAAGTGGTAAATTTTCATTTATAGAAGGCGATGATGGATATATTCAGGTATGAGGTTCCAGTTAGAATCCATTGGTAGTGTCAGTTTCTAGTTTTTATTTAGTGAAGGATTAAATTTATTTAAATAAATTAATTTTATAAAATTTCATTAAAATAAAAGTGTAGCTAGATTATTATATAGATAAGTTATTTCTAGGCTGTAAGTAACTTAGTATCGTAGTATCTATTCTTTAAAGAGCAATATAATCTTGTTGGTTAACCATCTGAATAAAGAAAGAAAAATAGTCTATAAACTATTATGCAAACTTGCCTTGTGTGGTAGCAAAAGAATATTTTCCGCTCAACATTTGCCATGTTGTAATCATTGGGTGCGTTTGGCAGAAAAAAGCGCTAGCAAGCGCTTGTAAGCAGAATGGCGATCGTAAGCGGTAAGCGCTGTCAAATCGTAAGTAGCTACTTTCCTATAGGACACAATGTTAGTTTTAACCGTGGAATGTAACCTAATTTAAATATATGTTTGTGAAGTATTCATATTAAAAACTTACCAATCATGAATTTTTAATAACATGTATATGTCTATTCATGTCATTATATTACATAAAACTAATATTGCAAAAAACAACTTATAAACTCTATTTCAAAACAAACAAATTAAATAAGCGAAATGGCGGATTGTGTCAGCGCTACTGAAGTAGCAAGCGCTTTTTTCTGCCAAACGCACCCACTGCTTATAGATTTCTACAAGTCACCTAAGCTGCCTGTATGCATCAAACCTCTGCATGCCTTATCACTCTCAATTACATCATGGTGCAGGGTTATAAAGACATTTTTTCATAATTTTCAGTGATTTCATGCTGTGTTCCACAGGTATATACTGATGGGGCCTGCTCATCAAATGGTAAAAATGGAGCGAGAGCTGGCATAGGTGTTTATTGGGCTGATGATCACCCTTTGAATGTTAGTGAACCAGTCACGGGTCGTGCAACCAATAATTGTGGGGAAATACAAGCTGCCACTTGTGCTATAAAACTTGCCCTACAAAATGATATTAAAAAACTGGCTATAAATACCGATTCTCAATTCCTTATCAACTCTGTAACTAAATGGATGCCAGGTAATGACTATTTACTTAAATAACTAACTGCATTATTTTAATTATATCTAAGTTGTATCTCTAACCTCTATTTTCATATTATTTGTCAGTATCTCTAAAACTTAAGCTTATTTTACTTATTTTAATATAAAATAACTGGTGTATTGAAACTTGTTTTATAGAATAATTTTTTTCATACATGTCTCCATAAAACTTTATCTTATTCAGGATGGAAGCGGAAAAGTTGGAAGTTAAAATCAGGGGAACCTGTGAAGAATGAAAAAGATTTCAAAGAATTAGATGAAGTTCAAAATCAATTGGAAATAAAATGGAATTATGTGGAGGCACATCAGGGTGTACATGGTAATGAAATGGCAGATCAACTGGCAAAAGCAGGTGCTGCTAGGTATACAAAATGATGAAAAATGTGACCTTATTTATTTTAAATGTAGATATTTATTGTTTACTTGTGCATTTAGTTATTATGATAATAGAAATGTTTGCAAGACTGCTGCTGGTCAGAACCTAAATAATTGTAAGTTTTAGTAAATACTTAAATAATTGTAAGTTTGTAAACATGTAACCCGGCCTTATTTAGAAGAGCTTTACAAACAAATTGTTTAATTAATCATTACATTTAAGCAAAGCACTGACTGAAATTTATAGTGATTTTAATTACTTTTTACATAGGTTATAAACATCTTTGTCTCTAATATTTGTATTTTCTAACTACTTTTTAAACCGTACTACAATACTAATAACTATCACCCTAATGATTAGTAAACCATACCACATTTTTATTTCTAGTTACTTATAACAAACTTTAACTTTCAACTTATTTTCCTGCTATTAATTAATGAACCAGTTTATTTGCTTTAGTCATAATAAAATAACAATCTCCTTAAAGCCAGGTTTTAGGTTTAATGATTAATTTCTTTGCTATTACTGTTCTTTTGATTAATAAAAAATATAATTTTGTGAATTTCATATTTTCTTATGACAAAGATTACCTAACATTAAACATTAAATATAAGCTTATAGTTATTTACACACATTTTTTGGTAAAATCAGGAGGGCCTAAACACTTGCATATATGCAGGGCCATAGGAATGCTTTTGTACACCTCCATAGCTCACTGGCGTCAGCCACTCCGTAGTAGCTTCTTCTAAAGGAAGGACAACTGCCACTACTGTTTCTTAAGTAAGGTGCACTTTCCTCAACAACCTTTAACTCCACCTGCGCTAAATCAAAGCATTTCAGCTTGATATAATTTATTCTCCGCGTCTTTTACTATGAACTCATTCTGCAGCATTTAACTTAAAAAAATCAACTATGTACAAAATTATCATAGATCGTTTCATCCTTACAAAATTCCAATAAATAAAGAAATTAAACTAGTGACTATGGAATGACGACTGCTTATGACAGAACAATAATGGAAAGAAATTCTCTTCCTTCGGCTTACGGAAACATAATCTTTTTAAATGAAGCCCATTTTTCTAAGATTTTTTATGTTTTCGTGCCCATTTTTTGTTGAATGGATTGCTGTACAGCAACTGCGCTGGTGAAAATAAAAGATGTATTCGGTAAAGTAACTGTTAGGTTCTTTTTTTATAGAATAAGGGTGACAAACGAGTACACAGTCCACTTGATGGTAAGTGGATGCTGTGGTCCATAGACATCAACATTTATCCTCACCTCTGAGGATTACGATGGAATGCCTCGTTTCCAGTAAAAGTGTCTCCAGATCTCAACACTCACCATATGAAACACAGCAGCATTCCTATCCTTCCTCAGTCGAGAATACCCATTCGTGCTACAACCATAATATAGCTGCAGTGTGACTCTACTATAGGTGCAGAATAATAACCAAATAACAACAGTATATTCATGTGTATGCTGGAAAACTTTTCTAACTCCACGTGGTTTCGGCAAGATGGTGCCTTACTACAAATACTGGGCATAAACGTGCCAAAAAGCGTAGGTAATTCAACATGTCAATAGGTTTTTTTTTTAATTTTTACGATTATTCGTTTTTAGGATACAATAAAAAATGTGACAAGCTTTTCTAAAGTTAGAAATTCGTTAGGATTAGGATCCTTCCTTTACTATCATTATCGTGTCGTAAAAAAATATTGCAGTTGTGGAGTGATTCCCAACGTCAAACAATTCCCACCAAAGTATTAGCGGAGTGACCATGTGTGACGTGCGTGCGTGCGTGCGTGCGTGCGTGCGTGCATGCTTGCGTGCGTATGTGTCTGTGTCTGTGTCTGTAACATCCATGTTGTATAACACCTATGCCAGTAGTTATTGGAAGCACTGCGCTAGAAGTTTTTGGCAAGTCTTAGTCTTAGGAATTTGTCCTAACAGAAACATACTTGTCAAAAATTCGCCTGACTAGGCAAGTTCAATTTAGACTAAAAGGTAAATCAACGAATTCAACTCTATTAGGCAGCGTTAGGGAGGTTTCGACACGTGCAATCAGTGCATGTATCTGGGATGTGGTCCTTTAGTGCTGACCTTATTAGGGAGCTTAAGGTCGCTCAGTGAGCTGTAGAGAGGGCTATGCTCCGTTTCTCTTTGTGATAGACAGCGAAATGAGGATATCCAGATTAACCGATATAGCCAGTAAGGTGAAATAGTGGCCCTTCAGTTTACTGATCTGTGCCGGCCGGAACACTGGGAGTGTGCACAGTAATTTCTTAATTCCTCTTTCTCTGCCACCATCGGACAACCAGAGGCTCGGCTAGTCTACACCCCTTGGTTGTCAACTTACTATGCATTTGAAACAAATGGTTTGCATCATCATGCGTAGAGCAAAAGAGTACCAATAACAAGTCTTTCATCCGATTACAAATTGCATGGCAAGGCAATATTGAATAGGCTTTTCTTAAGCGGGGTCAATGTGCTTTATCATCTTCTGCTGCATCACCACTTTCCATCAGGTGGAACAGTAGTTAAGCACTCGTAGTTACATAGTAGTTAAGGCTTAGAAGAAAGAGTCTCGAGTAGCAGCCTTGTACCTGTAAGCAGTGTAGGCTCCCCCCCCCCCCTCATACTTGATGGAGTGACTATATTTTTAATATACAAGGTGTAAGTGTAAACACCGTTGTCACTAAAACCATAGGCTTTAATATGAAAACATTTATCCGAATTTAAAAAAAAAACGCTATTTTCTTTCATAAAATTTAACAAGTTTCTGTCCGACACCGTCCGTAAATTCATGGATACCCTATGTGCCCGTAAAGATCACCGCCCGCGCTAGTTACCTACACAACATTCCAATAAAAACACAATAGGTACACATAACCTGTGATGTAACTTTTCCTTCATACTTTCATCCTGGCTTAGGACAGGCAAAAATTGAGAAATTAAGGAAAAATTTAGATTTTTCTTTAAAAAAAATGTTGTTATTTTTCATTGAATTTACGTAAGTGAAACCAAACCTCTGGTTTCAAGGATAACGGTGTTTACACTAACACCCTGTAGAAAGAATAAAGGTGTGAGTACACAGTCCACCTGATGCTAAATGGATGCTAGCCCATAAACCAGTGGTGAAGCCTCCATAGAAGCTAAAAAGCCAGGCTTGCCCTTTCAAACTGCTCAATCAATAATATCAACTACTCGTAATAAAATAACTCGTAAACTGTTTCAAACTATTTCAAATTTCCCGCGCGCTCCTCTGTTCTACACAGGCCATGGACATGACCCCGTAGCATATATATAGTTGACGGCACGAGTCGTGAGCACAGATGAACTATGACGGGGGTTGAGCCAGCGTAGGTACACTGTCGGCCAAAATTATTTGGTACCTTTGTTATTTCAATTCGTAATTGAATATTTTCGCTGACTTTTTTTTCGAAATTCTGAGTCGTTAACTCCTTTAGATATACGCCGTACAGTAGCTTCGTAGAAATTAGTCGCCTCAGCAGTCTGCTTCTAAACGTCTATCATGTTTTTCGCAATACATAATTTTTTCATGTAACAAAACGCTGAATAGACGATTTGTCGGGATTGCCTATTTAACACCGAATTCTTTCTTCTCTGCATATTTAGACCAAAATCTGAATGGTCAAATTATAACAAAAAAAATTAACAACAAGAAATATCAAAAACAGTTAAAAACAAGAAATACACAAATAATAATTAACAACGAGGTAACACTACAATTTACAAAAATAAACTAATTAAAAAGTTATCACTAAAATAATTGCTCTCTAGTGTACGGTAGCCGAATGATACGCGGGAACCCAATAGACGACGACAACCGACTGACTAACCAATCATATTGAGGTCAACGTCATATCGACCAATAAAAAGCGTGCTCACGACTCGTGCCGGCAATTATACGTAACGTCAACACTTGACAGTTTTCTTTCAATTCGAAATACATTGATTCGTGTTCCCTCTGTCTCAAAGCGAACATGCAAACTTAATGAAAGCAAGTAGTTGATTTGAGCGATTAGTCTTCTCTCTCGCACGCGTGGGCTTTTTACCGGGCTTTCGAGAAGACGATCGCTCCCTTTCTAACCTGCGGCAAAATGTTCTATAATGAAACATAACTACCAAATGTTTATATAGTGTAGCGGCGCTGTCGTCGCTCCACTAGCACACCGAAACACACCGAAGCCTAAATCGCGCTATTAACATTCCGAATCATAGACAGTATATATAGAACTTCTCCGAACTATCACTCGGAGTGTCGGCCGCTCCCCGGGCAGAACACCTTGCCCGGCGGGAGATCTCCCCTTTTCCTACCACGGCCACAGTGGTGACCCCGACGTGATCTGAACACGCGCAACCAAACAACCTTCGGAAACTTCAAGCTTCATCATCGTCATAGAATACCCTACACATTCGCTCCCGAGCAGATATCGTCTGCAGTCTTCATATCCTGCAAGCCATCTAGCTTCACAAGGTTCATCGCAGCACTGGAATAATAATGCTTCCTGTTCCTTCAAGCTACTCTCTGCGCTATACAGTGTTCGGCACGGCTCTGAGCCTTACTGCTCGCCTCTGCTTCACGGCACTCTCGCAGATTACTTGCCTTCTTCTCGACTCACCACCACAGACTACAAGGCAATCTCCTGGCTCTTGCACATTCGTCAGCAACGAGGCTGCACTATCAACCTCCGGTCTGAGCAGGGGGGTGATGTAGCGGCGCTGACGTCGCGCCACTAGCACACCGAAACACACCCAAGCCTAAATCGCGCTATTAACTTTCCGAATCATAGACAGCATATATAGAACTTCTCCGAACTATCACTCGGAGTGTCGGCCGCTCCCCGGGCAGAACACCTTGCCCGGCGGGAGATCTCCCCTTTTCCTACCGCGGCCACAATAGCATTTACTATGGAACCAAAAGCCGGGCTTTGCTCTGAAGATGTTTCCGAGTGCAGGGGCGCGCGGGCGATACTTT